GCTCTGGTGGTGTTTTATACACCAGCCGTGCCAATATTTTTCGGGAAAACGTCGCTGGTAGAACCGGAACAAACTTGTGTCTGAAGTCGAGACTTTGTTGAACAAAGTCTCGCAATGGGGGCGACTAAATCTAGTCCTGTTCAATTTCAGAAGTCACATGTTTGCGCATTTACCGCCAAAAAGAACCTCTTTGTCGTATCTCCCTAGTTTCAAGGCACTCCCCTTGTTGCCTCAGCCAGTATCGGAATGCTCGGCGTCGACACATCTAGTGACGTACAGTTTCGTGGCTAAAAAGCAGAGTGGGACAGTATTTCATGCCGGCTCACCGCCTGCAACTTTACAAGGCGCAGGTTTGGCCTCACATGAAATATTGTTCCCTTTTCTGAGCTGGGGCTTCCCAGTTCCAGCTCCTTCTATTTGATCGCATCCAGTGCAGAGCGGCAACCGAGCTCTTTTTTTTATAGGATAAGGGTGACGAACGAGCACACAGTCCACCTGATGGTAAGTGGTTGCTGCGGCCCATAGACATCTACATCTATCCTCTGTTACAAATCAAAATGTAGATGCGTTGTCACCCGTGAGGACTAAGATGGAATGCCTCATTTCCAGTAAAAAGGGCTTCCGGCCACCTGCACTCACCAAGCGAAACGCAGAGGTAAACCTCTACTTCACGCTGGTTTTCTGTGAGGTCGTGGTACTACCCCGGTTCGAGCCGGCCCATCCGTGCGACAGCAAAAGCTGCCGCGTGGCACTACCACTGTTAAAAGCGCTCTTTCTGATCGGCTTGACTCACTGGCACTGCGAAGAGATGTTGCATCATTTTGCGTATTTTATCGTATCTACCACGGGGAGTGCTTTGAGAAATTGTTTGTACTAATTCCAGCCGCTCAATTTCAACATCACATTGCGAAAAACTCGCAATACCATTCACACCATCTAGATGATTGGCGGTCCATCACTCTGCGATTCACTAGGAGTTTTCTTCCTCTATAACTTTTTTGTGAAATCGACTACCACCAGTGATTTTTCCAGATACGACTTAGGGACCTTCAAAAAAAGAGCCTACTCCTTTTTAAACGACAACGCATCTGCAATTCCCCTGGTGTTGCAATTAGTGCAAAATTATTAATAAATAATAATAATTAATATTGGCGGTATTCACTTACCATGCCGCATGCTCGTTTGCCCACTCTCCTTTTAAAAAAACCAAATCCAGGAGTCGAATAGACAAAACAAGAGCTATATTATTTTCTGTGAATTATCCTCTATCCTTTTATTATTGTTTAAATTTAAAACTTAACAATTAGAGTTTATTATATGTAGTCTCTAGAAAAGTTTAGTCTCTAGAATATTTATTTGCTATTTTCTGTTTTCTGTCTACTTAAAATTTGTTAAGACAGACCACTGTTCAAATTGGTCGAACTGCTCGAAAGGACAGATGCGGGCTGTACTGAAAAATAGTGGCCGTGATTCACCAAGCCAAATGCACAATATGCACATTATATACAATATGAAGATATCATTATGTGACGTAATAAACATTTATTTCTCTTTTTCTTTCATTGTTTATTATTGTTTTTACATAAATGAGTCGGCTCAACTAGGTAAGTATTATAATTGCACAGAATACCAGCGTAAAATAGTAGCCTAATGCTGCTATGCTGTGTATCGTATGGTGAGTGTAGAGAACCAGAGACCCCTTTTACTCTAAACAAGGCTTCCCATCTTAGTCCTTAATGGTGACAACGCAGCTGCATTTTGATTCTTAATTTAGAATAGATGTAGCTGTCTATAGACTGCAACATCCGCTTACCATCAAGTGGGATGTATGCTCGTTTGTTGCCCATTTTGCGAGAAATACGTGGAGTGTTTTTTAAAAATGTGGTTTTCTCTATGATAAAACTTGATACTATAGTAATTACATGCTTATCAAAATTGATAGAATAAAAATGAGGTACGCATATTTTGTTGGTTAATAAAATGGAGTAAAAAAAACGGCGGGAATGCGTTACAATGACAGCAAGATAGCCATTCCCACGTTGGAAGAGCTTTTTGAATCTTTAAAAGATTTTTTTCTAATGAAAATTATAAAGCATACTCTAAAACATAATGACTGCTAACGTCTAATGTGGTTGAGCCACGGTGCAGCTCTATTATGGATGGAGCACGAATAGGGTGGCTTGACCTGTGAAGTACCACGTACTTTAAGAATACCAGCGTAAAATAGCAACTTAATAGTGCTCTGATTCGTATGGTAAGTGTGGAAAACCGGATGCCCTTTTAACTTATAACGAGGCATTCTTAGTCCCGAGCGGTGACAACACTTCCTTATTTTGACTTAATCGAGGATGGATGAAATTTATGGACACAGCTTCCACTTAACGTTAGGTAGGCTTTTTCACGTTTATCACCCTTATCTTATTAACAATTCTATATCCAGGCGGCCAAAAGCAGTGGGCGCACGGTGGCAATTAAAATAAGCGCTAGGTACCTGTCAAGACGTAATAGTTGACAACGGCTGTATTTGTCCAAAAAAGCATCAACATTTATCTCATAACGTTTATCAAATATTAATTTTAAATATAAATGGAAATGACCAATTCTGGCCATGAAACCCCATCAATTTGCATTTGTTAAAAATACATTTTTTTTATGGTAATTAATCGCGGTTTTTATGTATCAAAAAAAGATTGCAATATTTTAGCACAAAACAAAAGTATTGAAAAGATAAAAATGAAATTAGGTAAATCTGCAAATCATTATTTTGTGGATAAAATAAAAAGTGTTGCCAATTACAAATCTCGTTAAAGAAGTCGATTCTGTTTTTTTAATCGATTTTTTATGGTGTCATTATTATAATGGTAATATTCTTTTCCGATAATTATTATGATGTGATAATTAAAGGAGGGAATTGCTAGTTGATTTACAATGAACTCTTTAGAACATAGCAAAAGCGCTACTGCAAAATTTAACTGCTATTCTTTTGTGTTCTTAAAAATACATTTAAAATGGAATTTAAATAAATTAAACAAAATATATTTTAAAAGGCTTGCAGAAATTAAATCGATTCAAAGATTATTCTTTTTATGAAATCATAAATCGAATAAAAAATCGCTATCTATTCATCGATTTTATGTCTGCTAATTGGCAACATCGAATCTGACAGCTAGGTCCATGTCATGTGATTATTATCAAAACTAAATAGTGACCACAAATTATAAAGTTGTATGTACAAGAGAGTGACAAGTAGAATTCTTTTGCATTTGTGTTATTTTGTTCGTTTTCGCGCGGATTTGTTATCTAAGCAACGAATAAGCTTTCTAAATGGACTCCGATAACTCTTCTCACCCTATTGACCACGGCCTGAACATGGATCCCGCTCCCACTAAGGATAACCTCTCATTAACTTGGACTCGATATCCACTGTTAACGATGACCCCAGCTTTCACACCGGCCATAGTTCTTCCCAGCTCTCAGTAACTCATTCAAGAGGACATTTACGCTGTGTCAATTGTGGTTTAAATGTCACGAAAATACGAAGTCATTTGTTGTTAAACAACTGTTCTTGTGAATATATAAAACCTTATATATTAATAATAACCCGGACTTTTTTTTAAAACTAATTCCTTAACCATTTCATTATTTTAATTGCATATTATCATTCCCATATTCTTTTATATGTGGACACCCATGGCCGAAGTGTCTATGAACGGTGGGCATTCCCCTTTTACTTAAACATTTATAAAATTAGGCCTTCCCCAAGGAATGCCACAAAGGTCCTGAGCCACCTGCATCCATCGACTTCCTGAATGTCTTACCAGGTCGTAACTCCATCTAATAGAGGGACGTCCTACACTTTGTCCGCCGGTACGAGGCCGCCACTGGAAAACCTTTTTTCCCCATCGGTTGTCGGTTCTTCGAGCTATATGGCCAGCCCATTGTCACTTCAGCTTACTAATCCGTTGGGTTATATTGGTCACTCTGGTTCTACTGCGGATATCCTCATTTCTAAGTTTATCATGCAGAGACACTCCGAGCATAGCCCTTCCCATAACTGTTTGCATGTTTACTACTGTATAAGTGCCACTTATACAGTAGTAAACATCTAAAAGTTTTTATTGGTTACGTAATGTTGATGCCGTCTCTACTTTGGCTCCAGACTTCACAGCGTATGTAGTTGAGTCGGCAATTTGTCACCACACTCTGTCAAACGTATTACTTCATCCTACAACAATTTTTTTTCTACAGATTTATCAAGTGCCTATATATGGCTATGTGATGTTGTATGTGTATTACATCTTCATTATAAATAAATCGTTAGTGGAACGATCGTAGCGTTTACAACATGTTTGTTGATTGGCGCAGTGTAACTATTGATAAAAGTAGTGTCTAGTTAAATATTTAAATATGAAGAGCATTGTTTTGGTTATTTAAAGTGCGTAGTCCGTGACTTCATTTAGTTAATGATAAAATGACCAGATTGTTACTATATATCTCTGTTTTAACTTTATTTCTCAATTTTATTAAAGTTGAAACTGCGCCGCTTTCAGGTCAGGACTTTGTCGTAGCATTTAGTAATCCAGTAAAGGATTTAGTAGATTTTCTTATCCATAAACTTAGTAATAATTTTGAGCATAAAGGTGACGGGAAAAACGTCACACCTGGGCCGTCAATGATTGATGTACCAATGAATACAAATAGCTGTACAAACGGTGCGGTGAAGGATATCTACGGAGCGTGTAGGATACCGTGGTGATTGAGGTCTGTAACTACACACACAGAAGACACATAGAATCATCGCGCAGTTTATTCAATAACATTCGATAAAATGAACGTAAAATGGGTGCTGTTTGTGACTATTATTATTTTGTGTACATTTTCTTTGGGACAAAGTGGAGTTATATTTAACTTCCATGAAAAATTGCGTATGGCCACTTCGACTACCACTGAAAATATAAAGACCAGTCAAATCATTAGAGTTCCTGAATTGGATTGCCCTGATGGGCAGCGACGTGATCATCTCAATAAATGCAGACAAAAATTTTAATACGTAAGTATTTGCTTAGATAATTAGATACTTATGTACGTATAATTACGCATACTTGATACTTAACATTTAAATGTCAGTTTAAACATATAAAACTAAAATCATAGTCAGAACGTCACATATACGTCCAGCTTATAGCGTTGAAAGCAGCATAAATTCAATAGTAAATTAATATATCCAGTTTGAAAAACTAGTTTTATGTTTTGATTATATTCTGTAGGATTATCTTCTTTTTCCTTACTAGCATATAAACAGTACACTGCTGGATGAAAGTATCTACCATAATAGATAGGATAAGCCATGAACAATACGCTTGTCAGACGAATTGTTGATCGCAGTTCGGTGTATGAATTTCAGATCTAGTATTTTTTATATATCTTTTTATATAAAAATTACGTGTCACGTTGTTTGCCCGCGATGAACTCCTAAACTACTGAACTGATTTTAATGAAATTTGCATACTCTGTGCAGTTTGGTCCAACTTGAGAGATAGGATAGTTTTTATCCTGATAAGTGACAATCAAATATTTTTTTTATTACGAATTTAAGTATTTTTTATAAGAAGGGTTGTCGAAAAGGGCAGAACAACGTCTGGCCTGGTCAGCTAGTATATTATATTTTTTTTATAAACGAGTTAACAGTCCACCTGATAGTACTAACGTGTTACTAACTTCAAACAAAGAATACTACAGATGTACTGAATATTGCATACCTATAATTATACAGGTTATGTATACCCTTCAGACCCGCATACAATATGGCACTTAATGATACTTGACCGCAAAAAGAACATATATGCGGTTGTTTTTCTGGTCTCTCTGTCATTATAGTTGCCTCTTACGATACTCACGTGAATTCTCTGACGTCCTCACCATATGGATACTAAATTATAAAAAAAAAGTATTTAAATATATACATTTTAAGTCTTAAAAAGACAGGAATCTGTAAAGAATTAAAAGATAAGCTTGTATCAGTTACAATAAATTTTGATTTATTATCATAATACCTAATGCAAAAAAATACTTTAATATTAAAACAAGACAAGAAAGTATTTAGCTGTTTCTTCCACTATTATTTATCGAATGTATATCTTATACCGCTACCTTTACAAATTGCTTAATGTGAAAAGTATTTTAATTAATTTAATTTGATAATATTAACATAATATATTTCTTACAGATGGGAACACAATAGTAAAGAAATAAGTATCATGTAAAAAGATAACATAGACTAAACAAATATATTTAAGCGGTTGCCTCTTAATGATGTAACATATATGTATATTATCAATTCGCAGAACCCAAGACTTATCGCAAGTTACTGAAGATTCTGTTGGCTTAAGGTCATAAAGTTATCTATTTATATTCTCGAAAGAAGCTAATTTATGACAATATAATCTAAATAACAGTGAGATGATAGAGACGTTTAAGGCGAGATGAAGTTGTCAATTTTCATTTTGTTTTGCTATGTTATTACAATTTTAAGTCTTCAAATAAAAGGGGACGTTGTTGTGGATTTGTTTGGTAAAATTCAAGAGTCAGCGCAGAGAATTGGAGATGATATAAAAAGTGTTTTTCAATCAAAAAATAGAAGGAACAACCAATATGAATCAAGGATTGTATTCAAGACTGATGAAGATGCACCTGACAAGACTACAGCCACAAATGTTGTTACAAATACACAAGTTCCGGTAACGACAGTAAAAAGTGATTCAGACAGTAAAACGAATGGAACGGTGCCAGATGGAAGAGAAAATTTCAGAGGTGCTTGTGCAACAGGTTACGAGCGTACAGCTGATGGAAGATGTAAACCTACTTATTAATCTACATCATTTAATTTAAAACAAATAAATATGCTTTGAGGTCTCATTTTACTGAAATAATCTTTTTGAATTATTAACTAGTACATAATTTGTTAAAGAATAAAGCTTAACTTGCTGGCGTTACAGGCTGTGCTTGAAATACTAAAGTTACTGGCACTACATTTTTATCCTTATTTGTATTACCATTTACTAATACAAAAGCTTGACCCGCGTCATAAGTTATTTTTTCGTTATTTTTTGTTGAAGTATCAATTTTGTTATTGGAATTTAGTAAATTGGTATTTCCCTTCATTTGATCCTCTGTTTTGTAAATATTTTGTTGCATAAAATCTTGGGGGCCTTTGTAAATAGTACCCATATTTGACGTTGGTCTGTTATAGTTTAAATTATAATTGAAATCTGTGTCAACTTCTTGTGACAATGTGTCTTCATCATAATAATCTCGATGAGGATTTCCTTTTCCTGGCTTTTTTCCTTTTTGTTTCTGATGACCTGGTGGTCCACCAGGTTGATGACCTGGTGGTCCTCCAGGTTGATGACCTGGAGGTCCTCCGGGTTGATGACCTGGTGGTCCTCCGGGTTGATGACCTGGTGGTCCTCTACCATTCATTTTGTGAGGAGGTCCTTGAGGTGAACGTTTTTCTGCAATTTAAATAAAAAATTCCTCAGTCCGCAAGTAGTCTACTAAGAAAATTTTATGTTGTAAAAGCATATGAGAAACATTATCCCATGGATGTTAAAAGAGTCGTCTTAGAGAAAAGCTTTGAATATATTATAGATTCCGATAGATGTCGTTAAAACATCGTGTTTCTACTAGATATTAATTCCCTAAGCCACCCGCTAAAAATGGATAATACAGCAAATGTTCCTTAATACGGGAAATCCCCGTAAATAGACCATCTGTCAAAGGCTGATAAGGATACCAGGATGTAAGACAATTGCAGAAAACTATATCTAGTACACGGGACAGCGGATGGATTAAGGTTTTCACTATAGGAATTATTTTTAAGTTTCTTACCACCATATGTGGAAATCGGGTGTGATAATTCTTAATTATTCGAAACAAAGTTAAACTATCATCAGTTGTGATATCCACCCCATTGCACAACAAAAAAAACTGATATATATATATATATATATATATATATATATATATATATATATATATATATGTAAGAGATAATTTTTTCAAAAAAAAGTAAGAAGTATGTATTATCCGACTCGAAAACCGAAAAAAACAAACAAACGAACAAAATGTAAAAGCCGACTTCAAAGAACCAAAAAGAATATAATAACTTCACGCCGAGAACCGAAGACCCTTTTTAACGGAGACGAGGCATTCATTTTCAGTCCTTAGGGGTGACAACGCATCTGCATTTTGATTTTTAATCGAGGTTAGATGTAGGTCTATAGGCCAAGCATCCACTTACTATCACCTGGATTGTGTGCTCATTTGCCACCCTTATGCTATAAAAAAACGACATAGTAAGTAATAAATAAAGTCTCAACCTCAGAATATGTAATTATTTTATGCTTATTAGTTATTTGAAAACAGCATAATATACATTTATTTAAAATTTAATTTCCCTTATCCCTTTTATGTGGACTATGGCATATCACAATCTTAATATCATTTTAATAGTGTAATGAAAAAAATTATCCCATATTTTAATTTTTTCTTAAACTTTATATGGGATCACCCCTAAAGTATAAATAAAGAAAAAGAATCATCAAAATCAGCTCTTAAACAAAAAAAAAAAACTTACAGTCGAATTGTCTCCTCCTTTTTTGAAGTCTACCGTTTAAAATGTAACAAACAATTTAGGCTGTATTTGATTTACAATAACATTAACCATAATCTTAATTTACTTATATAGTGTAATAAAGAATAATAAAGAAACATTGAATTTTGAAACATGAAATTTTGTTAAAAAAGAGAAAATTAATTAATAATAATACTCAGTTGCTTTATTTATTTATATGATAGTGCTTACTAATAATTTTTGAAATAACAATCAGAAATATATTATTTCTTTTGCTCATGATTGTGTTAAAATATTCTGATTCTGGAATTAGGGTTTTTTACACACAGAGTCTGCATAAAAGTTACAGCCTATATAAGTAATAATCCCTGTTTACAGGCCTCCTCTAATTTCTAGGTTTTAGGGCATGAAAATGTCCACCGCGTTACCCCAATGTAACATACGTTGGGATAACGCGGTGGACATTTTCGACGGACTTCAAATGTTCAATAATTAATATTTAAAAAAAACCCACAACGAACATGAGGAGCGTATCTGCATATCTGGGTACCTGTGTGTCTGTCTGTGGCATCGTAGCTCTCAAACGGTTGAACCGATTTGGATTTAGATTTTTTTGTTTGCAATTTGACTTGATCAAGAGTGTTCTTAGCTATAATTATTTTCAGCCGTTTAAAAATCATAAGCTCTTTTTGCTTCTGGTTTTTTTTTAATAAGTTATTTCTCAGACATGAAGGTTTCCTTACGAGATATTACTTCACCTCCGAGCACGTGGTAAATAAGCACTCAAAATTGCAATTAACAACTTCCTTGGTGCCGGCGAGAAACGTACGTGGTGTTGGTCGCGTACTATGAAATATATAGCGATCACTTAGCCCCTGAACAAACACGGCTCAATCAGATGCAGATATTAGTTATATACAATTTGGTACATACGTCTCTATGCCATGTTAATATTTAGAGATCATCTATTTTATCACACTATTCCTAACGAAATAAAAGCTAACCTAAGCGCTCACTGTAAATTATACAGTATGCAAGCAACACTGCAGAAAAGATTAGAATGATTTTTTATTCAATATGGATTATTACATAATACTTATTGAAAGTCATTTTTTTATTTACCACTGGTTCGGAAAATACCTCTGTCCTGGGAAGAACCAGCAAGAAACCCAGCGGGACCTTTTTTTTCAAACATATTTCACTTAACAATAATTTTGGTTTTACAATTTTTAAATGAATTTTCACAGAACCAACATGGTGGCGATCACCTTATTCCCAGGGGTTATTTTCATTCATGTATTCCTTGGTATTATAATAACCCTTTATGTACAGTTTTTCTTTAATAAAACTTTTAAACTTGTTTATTGACAAACTTTGAACATGTTCTGGGATTTTGTTGTAAAAGCGTATACATTGCCCCATAAATGAATTACTGATTCTGTGGAGTCTAGTATCTGGCATTACAAGCAAGTAATGACATTGTTAGTTGCAATTTTAAGTGCCGATTGTTATACTTATGTTCAATAATGAAGGTAAAAACATTGTGAGAAAACTTGTATGTATGAGGAATAAAATAACTCGAAGGCATTGAGAAATCCGCCAAAACATACTAAAACAGCGCGACAGACTAATTTATCCATATTTATCAGACCAGATTGCTGTTAGAATTCTATCTTGTTTTAAAAGCTACGTATCAGTTAATTTAATACAGAAATAGTTTTAAGGATTTTGGCAGAACCGGTACCTATTACTGCCAGGATACTTTAACCTGTGTGTAAAACCTGTTTAGAACTAAAAATGTTATTTTCACTGCCGAGATTCTTATTAAGTGTTATTTTGATTAAATTTCAAAAATTATATTTAAGTTGTTGCTTAACTGTAAATTTGAGGAAATTATCAAGTATTTAATGAATATTTTAAAATTATTATGTAACCATATATATATATATATATATATATATATATGTACATATACTTATATACTTACTCATTTCGCAATGTAGGAGCTCACTAAGATCGGATTTTAAGATATTTTATATCTACATTATTATCGTCTATTATCTTACGCACAGCGAAGCGAGCAGGTATCAGTTAGTTTTAAAGTATTTGGAAAAAATATGAATAAATAAACTTTTGTAGTATGCGAAAGCAAAGATAAATTTCTGTTCATTTTCAAGTAGTATAGGTAAAATGCAATATTATTTTATAATAAAACTTTAACTAAGCGTCGTTGTATGTTGTAATATATTCTGTTTTTCTGTATTCATATTGCGCTTACTTGAATAATATGCTGGGAAAAGTGTAAGATTTAAAATTAACCCATAACATTTTACTGATCATGTGCATTATTTCATGGTTCAATTTAAGGATCATAAGAACTACAGTACTTCACTAAGAAGAGCTTGGTTCCTTTTTGTGCCTTTTTTGTAACTATTAACTATTTGGTTTATTTTGTCAAACGGAACGATTAATGCTAAAGTACATCAATTCAGTCAAATTAAATTAATACGTAACCATTGTATGGAAAATAAATCACTAATATTAATGTATTTATGTTGAAGAATAAAAAACCTCTTATGAGATTGCCCTTGACATCAGCGTTCGTACATTATTACAGAAAACATAGAAGATAAAAAATACAGTAAATTACAATATGATATATAAACAATACCTCGTGTAATTGCATTTGACGTCGAACATGTATTCAACATGAGATATACACATAGTATGAAAACAGAGGGAATGCACTTTAATAACATATTGTCTTTCCTAAATAATAATCACAAAACTATACAGGTGTTATATGTCTGTGCGATAGCAGCTAGTAACCTTCATGCAACTGATTTTTTCCATCACTCACATCAAAACAAGTTTATTGTATTGGTTATGTGTGCAAAATGAGTCACGGGTGTTTAAGTATTCGTGATTTTTCTATGTGAGCTAAAATGTTCATATTATCTGTATTATAAGTTTAGAATGTTTTAAAATCTATTTATATTACTGGGCAGTGGTGGTATAAGGGAAACCGTTAGCTTATATTATCGCGTGGTTGTCGTGAAAGGTGATAGAGGGAAACTGCAATAGAAGATGCCAGCAGCATCTTCTCGATAACAGCAGAAATTGTTAAGCCAGTGCCAGATATAGCAACAACATTTGAACACTTATTTGAAGGACTTTGAACACTTGTTTGAAAACTTATTGGCGCTACCTGCCAGACATGCTATGCAAACACATCTCTCCACAGTACGTTGAAAAACGATAAACAAGATGGACGACGATTTTGTGCCTATATTATTGTGCATGTCATTAATTATTACATGTGCAAAAGAATATATCAAAACGGCCGAAAAGCAGGCGCGTATGAATGTGTTGTCAATATACTTACATTTTATGATTGTATTATAATTTTATGGGCCACATCAACCATGTACCATCAGGTGAAATGTGTGCTCGTTTTTCACCCTATCCTATAAAAAAAATTGATTTTAGGCAGTTAAATTGCTTTTAATTTTGCTGTAAAACCAAAGTCATCTAATAGAATTAGATGGTGATTTTAGCTTTAATTACTAATATATCTTATATTTAACGCGAATATATTTTTGAACCTATATTTATGTTAATATCCTCTAGACCAAATTTCGATCACGGCAACCAGTCTCTACGGAAACTATCCTAACACTCAGTAACAGCGACAACTTGGATACAGACGATCGGTCGCTCGACCGATTCGCATATTATATGAGAGTGAGCGGCCTGTGTTGGTAAACAAATCCGAAGTAATACGACCGTTGTTATTGTAATTTATGTTTAAGTTTACTAACGTATTTAAGTTTAAAAAGAAGTAAATAGCAATAACGTGACGAAAATCTGTTTGCAATGTTGATGTGGTAGATTTCTTTTTGCAGTAAAAAACTAAAGAATTTGGCATTATTGCAAGACGTCGATTTAGCCGCGCAACTAGATATAATCTAGTGAGAAGTACGGTTACAACTAGATTTATTATATGCATAGGAACGCGCTGACTTATAATTTAACAGAGGCGAACGTCAGCGTATGGCTACTCTCCTCCACTCCGGTGTGCCGATGGACCGTGTTGCTCTATGAATAATCGGGTCTACTTACGTTCCATTTCTACAATAAAAATTATTTAAAAATATAATTTAACACAACATCTAATATATTTTCAAATGCAAATATTGGGTGAAAGCTGGAAAGGAAAACCTGGCTAAAACCTGGATAAAAGTTTAAAACATATTATTTGTGTTAATCGTTTCAAATTCAATGAAATAAAAAAAGAAAACCAATTTCTATAGACGATAACTGAGAGACTACACAATACGAATAACAAACTAAAATAAATGAACAGTACTAGAAAGACTCAACCGTAAATCAAAAATATAGTCAAAGACTTCTCCTTTGGACCTCTTATCAAAAAGAGGACAGTATTTGAATGAACCGGTTTGATAAAACTTAGTGATTATAATAAACTCTTTACGGTTTGAACTAGAAGAGTCTACTAAAAGCGTGTGTCGGTGACCAGAAGAATTACTTTCAGAAGCGCGATAGTGAGCACTCATTCTTAAAGCTACTATTTGCAAATCTGCGAGCAATAATAATAATGTCCTACAGACTAAATTTTGGTCATAGCGGCCAGTCTTATCGAACACTAGCCATCTACGCAGAACAGAATTATAATGCCCAAGTATATGCACAAGCACAGGTGCACTCTCTATTCCCTCACTCTCATAGTCCGATGGGACGATTATTCGACACGACCGGAGAGAGATCAGGGAGGCTTTACGTGCTTTCCGAGGCACGGGTGGGAAAAACCGCCCACTTCCTGATTCCGGGCTGCTATTTAGAATTTCTTGACCTAATGATCAGCAATTGCGTTTGCGACTACTAGCCCAAAGATGCAGTCCTTCTACAAAGAAGCCTAGCGATTTGTACGTAGTTTTTTTTTAACCTAATAATCGTAGGTTTATAACAAGTTACTGTATGTAAAATAGATAATTTTTTTATCCTGATTAGCATTTTTTACTCAATCCCCACATAATAATATAAATATTTATAACGTTTTCTTTATAATAAGTCATAAAAATCATATAAAATGTAGACATAATTTTCAAAAAATAAAAATGTCGATAAAAATTTATCGCTAAAATTATTATTATTATAATTATTAGAAGTTAGATATTAAAAGCATTATTTTAATTCACATAAGTTGTCAGCATTATTTGCCAATAGTTAAATGTCATGTTTTGTTATTGCTGAACCCCTTAATCCTCGCCGACTGCAGTTTCGAGGCACCCCACGAGATTGGCATGGCCCCATTCGGCGACTGCCTGTAGTGTAAGATTGATATGCTCAACCATTGCCTCTCGTTCGGACTGGATTTAATTCCGATTGACCCGGGCACTTGGTTGGTATCTCTCCACAACTGTGCTGTCGTCTGCATACCCATAGATATCAGGAACGAGTAGATCATTTATATGCAGCAGGAAGAGAGTTGCGGAGAGAACGGACCCCTGAGGAACTCCGGCGTTTGTCGCGATAGGACAGGACGAGCAGCTGTAGATGACGATAAGGAGAAATCGGTATTTCAGAAATATCGTTCAGTTAGAATAAATATATAGCTCGAAAATATAACTTTCCGATCTGATTCATGGGGAAATTGTTTAAGTTTATCTGTAGACTCACCTGTTCAGAGATTATTGGGACTTTGTAAATTTTGAATTAACATCCAAAAAAGGCCGGCAGGTGCAGCTCATTCCCGGGAGAACATGCTCCCGGCAATAAGCTGTATATTTTTAATTACTTCAGAATAACTACCAAGGTAAAAATTTCATTCAAGGTAAGTTATTCAGTTTCGTGCAATAAACCATTTTTTTTATCTTTTTACCGCTTCCTTAACAATATTTTTTCGATAGTCCTTGTAAGTAAAATCTACATCACTAGCTAACGCATACAATGACAAATCAAAATTGGTTACATACATACATAGAGTATAGAGTAGAAGGAGAACCATCTCATATTGGGGAAAGTTGATAAAGTGTCCAACTGTATACTGAAAATAGAGGTTCCAAAACCTACCACAATAGCACTGGGGACTGAAAAATTACGATATGAATATAGCTGTTATAGACGGAGTGAAGCCAGCTGAATTGAAATATTTAAAAATTTTCATGACTAAGTTAGTAAAATACCAGTATACAAAACCTCATCTATTTACGTAGTACAAAGCCAAGCGGATTGGTCGGTCCTTGTTTATTTCTCCATCTTATTCTAATTGCTTTTGGCGCTTTTTTTTTTAATTTATCCTATGCTACCGTAGCGCCACCCTTATTGGACGCGTTTTTACGGACACTTATTCATATACAGAGATGGTCCTCCTTCTACTCTATACTCAATGGTTACATATTTTCGGCCTGTCAGGTTGTCTATACGCCAGTATATTCTAAGTCTATGGTATGTTCTAAGTCTATGGTCCGCATAGATTATTATAGTATTCGTGTAGAATCTACTAGTTAGTCTGTGATTATAGTTTCGACCCATAAACTTAGGATATATATCCTAAGTCTATGTTTCGACCACTGTCGAGGGTGGATTCTTCGTCGGTGTTGGAGCGACTTCTTTCAAATACATTTTAGTTTTTGAAGAGTTTATAAGACTCATTTAGAAACATTTTTATGAATAGAAATATTTAATATACTTAATATCTGCACATTTATAACTGTAGATATTGTTTTATAAATAAATTAATTTTTAAAGTGCCCAAAGAATAAGGAAGGAGATGAAGTTGTTACCATACAAACTTAGGCACGGCGTGAACAAACTTAAAATATGTTTAGATTTGAAGATTAAAACATTTTCTACTTATGTCAAAAACATGTTTTTGTAGGAGCTGGGGTTTTGTTTTCATTATTTTTTTTTATTTGTAGGTTATGTAGTAAAATCACTCATTCTTGTGGTAAGTAATTGTTTGAATCAATTGAAAAGAACACAAAATAATGCTATTTTATAGTTATTATTAAATAAATTAAAATAAAGCTCAAACCTTCTAACTGTCTTCCCCGTCGGGTGTCGGTTCTTCGAGCTATATGGCAGGCCCATTGCCACTTCAACTTACTTAACCGTTGGGCTATGTCGGTTATTCTGGTTCTACTGCGTATATCCTCGTTTTCAAGTCTATCACGCAGAGAAACTCCGAGCATAGCCCTCTTCTATAGCACACTGAGCGACTTTAAGCTTCCTTATACGGTCAGTAGTGAAGAACCAAGTTTCAGATCCACAGGTTATCACTAGCAACATGCACTGGTTGTACAATCTTGGTTTGAGGTTTTGAGGTATGCCTGACGAGAAAATGTGTCGTAATCTCCCGAACGCGGCCCAGCCTTACCTAGTCGGACTATTTGTCCTAGGTAAACATACTCGTCAACAACTTCGAACTTAGTGCTCCCAATAACCACCAGCATAGGTGCGACACCGACGTTACACATGACTTTTGTTTTGTCCATGTTCACATGTACAAGCACTTCAGCACTTCGGTATACCGACAGTCAACTTGGTAGCCAGGTTAGCCAGGAATAGCGGGGCCGATAGGGACTGGAGGCCGTCTTTTTGTAAGTCTCGTCATGGGGGGTATATTGCCATAGATGCCACGCTTGGCGAGCGGGTAGGCAATCGCAGTTTTTATATTATAATTTGCTGGTAACCAATATTTAATATTTAACAATCATTACCAAAGTCAGGTTAAGATAGTTATTTGGTAGGCTTTCGTGGTATTTGTGGGGGTACAAAATTATTACACGGACATTGGGGTGGGTCATTTTGAGCCGAGT